ATAACTTATAATGCATATACCTCTGGTTTTTTTTAAAAATAAAACCATTAGTACGCAATTTCGTGAATTATATGAAGTCACTCATGTTTGTTTAACCATTTTCTGGGATTTTACATTGTGAGGGATTCAGTTGGAATTATGCTTGGGATTTATATGTGTTGAAAGAAAAATTGTGATAATATTTGTTTTAAAAAGAGAGACTGAAAAAGCCAGAAATTAAAGGGAGAGTTAGGTTCACAGTCATTAGTTGATTCATGTTAAGATTTGTTCTGAACAGAAAGGATGATTGAAGGTAGTATTAACAGTACTATCAAATTGAACTTTGATATAATTTACATTGGATGGGATAAAAAAACAACAGCTTGATAAGTAGGGCACTTCTGGAGCTTCCCTTACATGTGGATTTAAGAGGGTATTTTGGGGCAGCTAGGTGGTGTAGTGGACAGAGCACTAGCCCTGGAGTCAGGAGGACCTGAGTTCAAATCCAGCCTCAGACACATAACATTCACTAGCTGTGTGACTCTGGGCAAGTCACTTAACCTCAATTGCCTCACGAAAAAACAACCACCTAGAAGTCATATTCTTTCTTTAATTAAAAGGCCTCAGGTCTGAAAAATACTCTTTTTTTGGGTTTTGTTTTGTATTTTGTTTGCTTGTTTAAGTCTTGTGTCCAGTCTGGGCACTACAGAATAGATGGATCATTGACAGACTAGGGTATAGTTAGAAGAGGATGGTGAAGGTACTCACAGCTAAGATAGATACCCTTTAGGTAGTTTTGTGAGTTACTATGGCCAAATAATTACAGCCAGCCTTTTGATGGTAATAGGTACTTCAGCTAGACTGTTTCTCAGATGACATCTCTGTAGTACATTTCGTGGCATATCCTTGAGACCAGTCCAGTTTGGGGTAGAACCTACAAGAGCTTGCCGTAGATTGGAATAGCCTTTTGAGAGTCCAGGGTCACCTTAATACTATAATGTGCTATCAGAAGAGCATTTTGCCGAAGATTTCCACTTTACATTATTTCTGAATGAAAAGATAAGATGAAAAGCAATAGGAGTGGACATCAAAACATACTCTTTGATTTCTAAACATTTACTGGATGGGGGAGGCATAGATAGATGGCAGTTGATGTGGAAAAAAAAATCTGGAGAACTTCAGGCTAAGCTGGCTGCCTGAATGGGAGGCAGACCATCCATCTCCCATATAAGTATACCAGCAAAATCCTAAGTTTCTTGTCAGACTGAGTAATGAACAAGAATTTCCATTAGAAACTGCACTAGGTGCCTTCTACCCCCAGACCTTACAAGAGGTTAGCTCAAAGCCAGAGCACAGTAGGAGGGGGGCCACTACAGGAAACCTAGCACAGCTGGGGTCTCTCAAAGCAGTGGACTAAGAACATGTGTCACCTGCAAAGCTCTGTGTCTGGAAGCGGCAAGAGTAGAAGGTTCCCTGAGAAAGCCCCAGGACTGGGACCTTGGAAGCAGCTGTAGCAGGCGGTAACTGGTGATCAGTGCGATGCTGCGGCACTTGGGGCAGGACATCCCTAGCCCGGGGGATCTGCAGTACCTTATACCTTGTCTTGAGATGCTAGAGAGGTCTGTAAAGATCTAGCACTCTGAATCTCAGAGATTCAGGGAGACCTGGCCCCGAGATCTAGAGAGCAGCTCTGTGTCTTGGGGGACCAGGGTAAGACCAAGTGGGGCTGCTGACAAGCATACCCAGAAGCACAGCAGGAGTCAGTGCCTGTCCCTGGCACAAAGCCCCAGTTCAGGAACTAACACTGAAAGTGTGAATAAATAAAAGAAAACACCACATGTATAAAGAATTATTCCGAATCTGAAGGTCCCTCCCCTCCCCAAAGAAGGAGAGAGTCATGTTTTTACAACCGCGTCAGAGAATCACAGGGGAAAAAATGAACTTTCAAAAAATGAATACCTAGGAGAAATAAAGCAAGAGATTTAAAAAAAATCAGTCAACACTCTGGAGAAAGAATTTGAAGAATAAATAGCTTAGAAGAGAAAGTGGTAATCTTACCTATGTAACAGACTCCTTGTAGGCTAGAATAGAGCAAACAGAAATCAGTAACTCTATAAGCAAGATACATTAGAATAACATTAAAAGTTTAAGAAATAGGAGTAAACATAAGACTTTAATATAAAAACAACTGACTTGGAATACAGGTTAAGGACAGATCATTTAAGAATCATTGAACTCCTTGTAAACCATGACCCCTCTCCCAAAAGAAAAAAATCTGGACACTATGTTTCATAAATTAAAATTGCCCAGACATTTTAGAACCAGAGGGAAAAGTAAAGGTAGAATCCACCAATCACTTCCTTTCTGAAAGAAATCTCCAAAGGAAAAGCCCCCAGGAATATCATAAACAAAATTCAGAGCTCCCACTTCCAAGAAAAAATACTGCAAGCAATGAAAACTAATCCTGATCTTGATGAAGTTAGTAAAAGTCAGGGGAAAAGAAGAAAATAACTAAATTCTAAGGGGATGCTTTAGATTGTCTTAGACAATTAGGAGACTGGCTGAACAAATTGTGGTATGTGAATGTTTTGGAATATTGTTGTGACCTAAGAAGTGAACCAAGAGATGATTTCAGAGAATCCTGAGTAGTATTATGAGAAATGAAAGAGTTAAGTTTCTACATAAGTAGATAAGAAATCAGCCCAGACTGGCTGACTTCTCTGTGGGAGGAGGGGGGAGGGGTATGATAACACAATTCTACTCACATAATGTGTGTTGGGTGTGGGGCATGTGAGGAAGATTGTAACCCAGAAGGATTGGGACCAATCCTGATCCAGAAGGGAGGAGTTAGGCATTTACTAACTATAAAGGTTGCCCTGGCTTCTTTTACTTCGGGCATTTCTCTCCATCCAAGGATGTGCACCCACTTCTCATCCAAAGATATGCGCCCACTTCTGGGGAGAATCAAAATGATGCACTTCAGCCTCTTTAATCAAAAGTCTTTGAGACACCAGTCTTTGGAACTGAGTCTGGGGTCATCTTTATAACAGTATAAAGTGACATAGTGAAGTAAACAGAATGAGGAGAACAGTTTATATAAGGATAGCATCAGTGTAAAGAAAACTAACTTGGAAAAACTTGAGGACTTAAGAGCAGTGCAATGACCAGCTATATATCTTTATAAAACCTATAATGAAACATGTGTCCCATCTCCTGACAGAGACCTAATGGACACAGGATGTAGACACATACATTTTTGGACATGGCCACTGTGTGGATTTGTTTTGCTTGACTATGCTTATGTTACAAGGATTTTTTTCCTCTCATTCTTTCTCTCATTTTTTAATGACATAGGGAGTTTAAAAAATGATGCCAGAATAAAATGGTGATGTCCAGAATTTTAAATAAACACAAGTTTTTTAAAAATACTGTGGGGTTTTAGTGAACCACCTATTTATAGCTTGAGTCAACAGTATAGCGTGGCATGCAGAAAGGCTAATATAATTTCATCATATATTAAGAGTCAAAATTCAGGGAGGTGGTAGACCTGCTCAGATCACATCCTGTGATATTGTGTTCAGTTTTGGTATAGATGGTATAGATCACAGGTGGGGACCGCTAGTATAGATGATCTTTGAAATCTCTGAGATTCTAACTGGTAATGTTTAGCCTGGAGAAGAGAGAACTTGGGAGACACATGTTAGGTATCTTCAAATGTTTAAAGGGTTATATGGAAGAAAAACCTGTTTGCTTAGCCCCAAGGGGTAGAACTAGGACCTGGGGGTAAAAATGACAAGGAATTTCAATTCATCATATGGAAAAGCTTCTTAAAGGTTAGAATTGTTCAGAAGTGGGATGGCTTTCATATTCAAGCAGAAGCTGGATGAGTACTTGTCAGGAATGCAGTCATTGAGATTCATGCTTTGGGCAATGGTCAGCCGAAATGAAATCCCTTCAAATTCAGAATTCAATCTTGTTCCTTTTCTTGGCAGGTCATTTTAGTTTGGATAAGGAAGTTAAGTACAAGACCCAGGAAATACGATTAGATAGAGTATCTATACTCTGTACAATATACAAGAGTATATATGTTGCGGGCTAAGAGGTTGAGAGGTTGTGACCCCTCAAAGACTGGCGTACAGGACGGGGTCGTCTGGAATGAATTCACAGACTCAAGCGTTCTTTAATCCAAGGTGGCAAAGATTTATTGTTACGCTTTTCAGCGGGCAAGGATTCTTAAAGGATCCTGCAACCTTAGAGAGGTGCAGGTAAAGTTTATATAGGATAAAATGCAATAAAACATATGTCAAATATGCTAACTAGGTGATTCAGGGTGGGATTAGGGAGTGGTTAAGGAGTGGTCAGTTCTCAATTGAAACTCAAGATAAGAAAGTCCCATTATTCAAGAGAGTATCTGGTCCCAGACATCCTGGGCCCAGTGATAACAAAAGGAAGAATACTGATCAGCTCTATCTGGTCCTGGAATTTGCTGACACAGGAAGGGGTGTTTTTAGTTCACTCAGAGAAAAAGATTAATTTAGGTTTTTGTCCCTTATTGGGGCTCAATTGATCTCAAATGATTATCAAGGGACAGTGTTTCTGAGGCTAGGGAGAAATTGGGGCCCAAGTATAAGCACCCGAGCACCCCAACATATGCATCTATCCAGGTAGGTTAGCAAGGCCAAAAAGAACAAGAGGTGGCACTATTGAGTGAGTTTGCCATCTCTGGTTCTAAAGGAAATGCTTTTCATTCTCTGTCCTTATTTCGTACTCCTCCTTTTTGGGGGTAGTTATGGATCTGTTAACTTGTTCTTGCTGGCAGAATCTTCTTACAGTAGGACCACAGACCTACTTTGCCTAAAAGATTCTTACATCAGGTTAGAGAGGACAAAGAGAAGAACCCCCTCATTTATTCCTTTTTGAGAGTGAGTAAATGAGAGGGCTAGAAGTGCTTGTGGGGTTGGTTGCCTTGGTTTGTAGATGTCGCACATGCTGACTTTGCTTTTCCCTTTCACCCTTTATAGTGTGTGTCAGTTTCTGGAGCGATGTCAAAGCCCGACAGGTGGCTTTGGAGGGGGGCCTGGTCAGCACCCACACCTCGCACCCACATACGCAGCGATCAGTGCATTGTGTATCATTGGCACTGAAGAAGCCTTTGATGTCATCAACAGGTATAATCTGGTTCAGCACAGTCTGAAACCTGAAGCAACCAGTTTGCCTCTACTAATGCAGTATGCTGGTCCACTCAATTCTGCTTTCTCTTTTGTGTCTCAGAGAGAAACTCCTAGAATACCTCTATTCCCTGAAGCAGCCTGATGGTTCTTTTATCATGCACGTTGGAGGTGAGGTGGATGTCAGGTGAGTTGGGGATTATCTGGGCTTTTCAATAGCTTTTAAAGCTTGTTTTCATTTAGGGGAGTTGAACCAAGGAAGGAAATGAGTAAAAGTGTTCTTACAGACTTCCAAAGCCTTTTGAGTTGGATTTATTAGTCACCCAGGGAATGAAAAAAAGAATATCATGAGGTAGACAGAAATAGCTCTCTCAGTGGTATAGGATGAGAAGAAGAGTGTGATATTAAAGATCAAGGAAATAAGCAAAAGGGCAAAGATGTGACAAAGTGAGATTAGTCAGTGTTGATGGGGTTGCAGAAAGATAGGCGTACACTGTAGGTACAGTTGTAAATTGGTCCAAACATTCTGGAAAGCAAATTGGAACTATGCTTTAAAAAGTGGCTATAAAATATTGATACCCTTTATCTAGAGTGGTGACACATGTGCCCCAGGAGGGCAAAGATAGAAAATACTCTTAGTAGCACTATTTGTGGTAACAAAGAACTGAAAACCAAATAGGTGTCTGTTGATTTGGGAGTATCTAAACAAATTGTGCGACATGATGTAAATATGATGGAAATGATACTTAAACATACTAGTACTGGACTATAAGAAATAAATATGAAGGATTCAGAGAAGCATGGGAAGATTTAAATGCACTGATACAGAATGAAGCAAGCCAACCTCGGAAAACAGTATGCACAATGATTATAGCTGTGTAAGTGGGAAGAACAGAGGAAGAATTGTACAGCATGAAACTGAATGTTACATCATTGTAATGGCTCAGTGTGTGGGAAGTTCCAGGATCTCTCACCATGGTGAGCTGGATTACTTCATTGCCTTAAAAGCTCTTCAGACTGTCCTGAAAACGTAATTGTCTCAGGCAATGAAATATTCTGGCCATTGACACAGCTTCCTGGTACCTTAGGTACAAAAGTCAGATTATTAGTTGTCACGGAACTCTTCACCCAGGCACTCTGCTTGGCATTCAGAGCCCTTCATAACCTAGTTTCCTCCTGTCTTTCCAGTCTTCTTATACTTTACTCCCCAACATGTACTCTTCAGTTCAGTGACACTGGTTTCCTGGCTGTTCCATGAACAAGACACTCCATCTCTCGGCTCTGGGCATTCTCTCTGGCTGTCCCCCATGCCTAGCACATTCTCTCTGCTCTGCTCCACTGACCTACCTGGTTTGCTAAGTCCCAACAAAAATCACACCTTCTACAAAAAGCTTTCCTCAATCCCTCTTAATTCTAGTGCCTTCCTTATATTAATTCCTAATTTTCCTGTATATGGCTTGCTTTATATGTATTTGTTGGTCTGTTGCCACACCATTAGTTTGTAAGCTTCTTGAGGGAAAGAACATTCTTTTGCCTCTTTTTGCATCCCGGGTCCTTAGCACAGTGCCTGGCACATAGTATACACCTGATAAGTGTTTATGGATTATTGAAGAAAGCTGCACTTGGGCTTAGTTGAGTCAATGCTATATCCTCCCCAAGTAACCTTCCCTTGCTATGACTGAGTAAATTTCCTTTTTGCTAACTCTTAAATGAATTGTAAATATCCCATTTCCTTCAAATCTTGAACCTCAACCATCACATTGTCTTGGTCAACCCTGGCCTATATCAAGCTTGGCTCCAGAAAAGACTCTCTTTTCTTTGAAGAAATGGGAGATGATGGGCATAGAACATTGTCTGTCTGTTGTCAGGCTTCATTGATGTGTTGTTGGTATTGCTGAACTGCTTTTTCTCCTCATCTCTTTTATTCTGTGTTCTGAGGGATGGCTGGCTCTTTGTGTAGGGGAAAGGAGCAAGGGAGGTGAGAGTGGATATGTCAGGAGATGAAGGGAATGTAAAAATAACTCAGTAGGAATTAAATATTTGGGGGGAAAAGGCTTCTTTCTGAAATTTTAGCTTGTTTTTAAAAAATCAAATGCAATGGAATTTCCCATCAGAATTATTTGGGATCTAGACTCCCAATTGTGAAAAATGTCCTGAATTCTTGAGTGACCATAAGTGTTAAGATCTATGTTTCTACTAAATTCATTGCTTCTATTCTTCTCCATAGTCAAGTTCGGTTCATTTCTGGTCAAGAATTGAGACCTTGACCTTTCTGAGATGTTTCTTAGGGATCAGTTTCAGAAGGTATTTTCAGTGGGTTTTATTCATTAATTCAGTCACACAGTGTCATTGGAATTGAGTTGAGAACCCTAGAGTCGTCACTATTGTCATATGTTCCAACAATGCATTTTTAAAATTAGTAGCTTGTTTACTTAAATATAAACTGCTATTAAAAGAGAAAGAATTGCTTCTGTTTTTAATAATGTGCATTTTCCATTGTAAGTTAGAACTGCATTTATCTGTGAACTTGAAAGTAGAAGAAAAATAGTTGGGTCTTAATAAATATATGTTAATCAGATTTGAGAAAATTATGAATAATTTCAACATAACATATTAGCTGGTGACATAACCCCTCTGAGGTGAGTGAGATATTTTGAGATATTTATGACTTCCTATAGGCCAACGGACTATATAGTACTCAATGGAGTATATAGTATTCACTAATATAATACTTTACCAGATATTTCCCCATTGGTTCACAGTTGTTTTACCTTCAAAAATGTCTAGTCCACATTTAGTAAGCACCTTATGTACTTGGCAGAAAATATTGTGTCATGTAGAACATATAGGCCTTTTGTTTGCTTACCTTCACTTGTTGACAATTTAAGTTTTTTTAAAAATTCCTCAAATTTTTGAGAGTCAGCATTGTTTTCTACACATGGGGTCAGAAAAATGCTGTTTTTTGTGAAGTTACTAGATTTCTTATTTTTTTGTCTTCCATTTATAAATTTGCCTTCATGGCTTCTGTGTAAATTTACTAGTGCATTAACTAATTAAAAATTCCAAGTATGAAAATGAAAGTGAAGAAAATACACAGTGAAAATACACTGAAGAACATGCACTGACAACATAGGTAACTAAATTCATAATAAACATGAAGTAAAGGATTTTATCTGAGTTGTCTGCCCAAGCAAGAAATTGAATTAAGGACTTGTGTATTACAGCAAAGCAAATATAGCTATTGAGTCAAACATTTTATTCCTCAGCTAAATTAATTTTAATTTCTTAAGGCAAAAGCAAAGGTGGACCTTTCGCATAGGCTCTAGAGTCCCTTCTGTTCTATGGGTTTCCTTTCCAAATTCTGGTTTGGTCTTAGTATTAGCTTCTTAAAATCTGATCCCAAAATGTCTCAGCCTTCTCCTATATTGGGCAATTTATGGTTCACCAGCCTAGGTCTCTACCCCAAGAGACCTTAGGGAGGGACCAAACTGGCCCCGCTGGATGCTAGACTCTTTCCCCAGGTTTATTGGAGTTCCACATGGGTTCTCCCCTCCCCAACTCCTATACGCACATGAGTGCACGGGTGCGCGCACACATACACACACCCCTATTACAAACATGTATAATCAGCAGAAAGCAAAAGTCACCTCTGTATTGAAGCGGGGCATTGGGGTGGGACTTTTCTGTAGGATTTCTTAATATTTAGAAATTTTTCTTAAAGCTGAAAAAGTATATCTAAGTGATTTTTCCTGTTTGTTCATGAGAATAATAATCCTGCAGAGTTTATCCTTTTGTGTATCAAAGGGAAATAGGCAGATTAATGTACAGAGAATGGAAGTTAAAGGGATGAGATGAAAATACCTAGAAATTAATTTACTTTGAAAGAATATAAATGGGATAGACTAGAATCTAGCTAGATTCTTGGGACCTATGCACCATGCTTAGGTGCCATTGACATTTGTTCATGGCTATGCATATTAGACTGGCAACCTATGGGCTGAATAGTAATATAAAAAGTTTATATTTGTATGACATTTATTTAACAGTTCACAAAGCACTTTCTTTATATATTGTCACATTTATTTGGTTTTGTCTGGGTTTTAAATAAACCAGGTTGTAACAATATTGTTAATAATAACAATAACCTGTGGCCCTTCAGTTTGCTTCTGATAAGTATTAAGGCTACATTTCTCTTTGCTGTGATTTTGGTGATCGTGAATAGGACAGGTGTCAGAATGTATGTATATATGTGTGTGTGTGTATATATATATCTATCTATATAGATAGATATATATCTATATAGATAGATATATATATAGATATATAGATATAGATATAGATATATATGAAATATATATTCAAACTGTCTGCAAAGCTTACTTCCAGAGTACCCTATAAAGTTTGGCTCCTGTCTGCCGCTATCAGACATAATGGAGGGAGGACCCTTCTGTTTACTTCCCTGTTCCTCTCTTTAGACTTCCGTAGAAATAAGGATTGAGTGTGATTAGAGGAAACAATTTTTATTTTCTCCAAAACATAATTTAAGGACTAGATAATTGAAAAGCCCATATTGGAAAAGTGAGATTGACTATAGAAGTAACCTATGGCACTGGAATAAATGGAATAAAATATGGTTATGGGAGGAATTAGGCTAGACTGAAGTGTGGAGAATTATCCGACGTCAGCTACAATTTCTTTTCAAGAGGCTTTTGCCTCTTTTTAAATTTGAAAGCCTATAGTCATTTGGCTTCTGGCCCAAATGTCTGAACCAGTACAGTCAATCTTTTGTCTGTGGTAGTTTGTTTTTCTCTTTGAAGACTTTGGTTTTTGAGGGTGATGTAAATTCTCTTAGAACTGTGGTATCCTATTGGTCCTTTTGGGAACGCAAAAGAAGGATTCCAAATAAAATTTTAGCTTACTTGGAAAGTTCCTAAGATACCACTTCATATTTTCCCCTTTCCCTAATACTGCTTTATTCCACATGCTTTGCTTCTTTGGTTGTGTAATACTAATAAAAATTATTCAGTAGTTGAACATATAGTATGTAATAGAAAGCAAAATTCAAAGTTCCGATAATATCTGCTGTTATCTGGGAGGAGGTAAGTGGATATTTCTGTGTTGTCTCATGTTTTTGCCTTTTAAGAATTGAGAATCTTTAGTGGATTAATGTTTTTGTTTTGATGTATGTGACGTCCTCTTTATCTTCTAAGTGCTTTACTGTGTTTAGTAAAGTAGAAGGCAAATAAATGTAATTTTTAAAAAATAGACTTTCCTAAGGGAATTACTTTATCACAGACTAAGATTACACTAAAGAGTCAACAAAGTTTCTGTTCCTAATGAGACAGGGCCATGACTAAGCTGGTTTATTTTTAATACCCCTTAAGTCACTTGTTTAACTTCTCTACAATAAGTTTAAACAGATTGTTTGACCAGTCAGTGATCAAGAAGTGTTCACTTGAATGCTTCAGCTTCACCCTAATGTCACTTTCACAAGAGGCTCCTTAGGGCCCTTTCTCTAGCTTCTTAGCCAGATATATGTGCATTATAAGAAGGGCTTTCTTAAAGAAGATTATTAGTATGTAGCTGTTCTCATACTGAATTATCTTGAGCAACATAAAATAGTGAAAATTTTTTAATTGGTACAGTTAAGTTTGGTGAAAAATATGTCTGGCATTAGTATTATCTGTTGTGTATGTTATAAACTATCACCAAAATTGGTTCTCCCAATAGAGGGCAGTAATTTTCATTTTTGTCTTTGTATCACCAGCACCTGCTACTGTGCCTTGAATGTAGTTGACCCTTACTAAATATCTGTTGAGTTGAAAGGTTGATGACCCTGGTACCAAGTCATTATAAATCACAGAAGGAAAGGGTTAATTCACTTTGGAGCGACACGGATTCGGTACCTGCGTTATTTTTTTGAATGTAAACTTGCTGTGTGAAGGTAGAGTAGAATGCCAGGTATCTCCCCTGGGGAGCCCGATGAAGTGGCTGGGTGTTAGGCAGATAGTTACCACCTGCTGGGAAGAGAAGCTGAAGCTGAGTGAACATTGCACAGACTGGCCTCTCTTGTCTCTTTCTGTCTCTCCAGAAGTGCTTACTGTGCTGCCTCAGTTGCCTCCCTAACTAATATCATCACACCTAAACTCTTTGAAGGCACTGCAGAATGGATAGCAAGGTAAGAAAAACAGCAACTCGCTACAGAATCACTATGTGATTTAACATAACTTGTTAAAAAAAAAGCCACACCACAAAAACCCTTTTATTCTTGACACTCAATCTTGAGGTATTCCTGGAAAACTAGTGGCTAAAGATTATAACTATAGTCCTTCATGTGGTGCCTGATCTGCATTTTGAAGGAATCAAGGGGATTCTAAGAGATAGAAGTGAAGATGGAGTCGATTCTAGGCACTGGGGATAGTTAGTGCCAAGACGTGGAGTGAAGAGCAAGAGCCATGTTGAGCTGTCTAAAGAAGTTATAATTTTGAACCATTCTTTTTATTAGTTTTGGGGTAGAATGTTTGTAAGTTCAGCTATACTTCGAGTACTTTGGGAGAAAAAGATCTCATGTAGCTTATTATTAATGAATGAATGAAAACTATTAAGCACTTACTGTATGGCAAGCATTGTGTTAAATGCTGGCGATGTAAATATAAAATTGAAACAGTCTCTGCTCTCATAGATCTTACATTCTAATGGGGAAGACAGCACATATAAAGAAGTGGTGGTCAGGCTAGGGTGTTACAGCCTGGGAAGTCAGAAAGAGTGAGCATGATATGGGGCAGTCAATTGACATATTTTTTTTTATAAGTGATTGTAGTGTTGATTTGATTATAGTTTTTAGTTCTAGGGGTGGAAAAGGGGTGGTGGTGGGAAAAGTACAAGTGCAGTGAAATGGTGGGAAACGGCCAGGGTGAAGAGAAGGCATCTGGTTCCCAGGATTAGAAAGCCAGGTAATATTGTTGATGTTATTAATTTCTAAATTGTGACTATTGAATTTAACCTGCGTGTTCTCATTATTTGTTAGAAGAAAGGATATTTAGTTTGTGAACATGCACATAGAGTTGCATCAGTTAGGTTTACCTGACTGCTCCTTTGTTGTATTCTTTCCCTTTTTAGGTGTCAGAACTGGGAAGGTGGAATTGGTGGTGTGCCGGGCATGGAAGCCCATGGTGGCTATACTTTTTGTGGACTGGCAGCACTGGTCATCCTCAAGAAGGAGAAATCATTAAACCTGAAGTGCTTGTTAGTAAGTACCTTTGTGTGCAATCTCCACTTCAGGTTTGAGTGCCTCGGTATCGATTCACATTAGTTCAGAGACTTCCAGCGATGAAAGCTAACAGAACACTTGTCTTAAACTCACAAACTGCTGTAAAGCTCTCTACCAGGACTCAATTTTCATAGCAAGGGCTAACTCCTCAGGTGGAACAAATGAAGGCTGGCTGGCTCCTGGGGATGAGGGCAGAAGCAACCTTTGCCTTCAGTCTCAGATCTCTTTTTCCTGTTTTTGCATGATGACATTTCATAGCACTGAACAGAGTGAAGAGTATGCTCATGTGACTTCCATGAAGAATATTTGGCTTGGCTATTCAGGATCCTCTTGGATCTGTTAAGACATTTTTCAGTGAGCCAGTGTATAATTCCTTCATGCTTCCAAGGCTACAGCCATAATCTTTTTTTCCAATTAGAAGTTGAGTTATGAAATGTATTAGTAATAGTTGCTAAAGAAAGGAGACTATAGATTTTTCTCTAGAGCATTTTAGAGGCCAAGACTATTATCATACCATATGCATATTTAGTACCTTACATTTTGGTGAGTGTTCTGAATATAATAAAGGTGCCAGGTAACTGCATTCAGAAGATGGCTCCTTCATTTTCCTAAGACATACTCATTGGACTCAGGGCCTCTGGCAATATTCAACATGATATATTCAGATTTGTAAGGTTATCAGAACGTGGTGTATGTAATCTGCTCAGGCCGAATGCAAAAACACACATCCCCCTTACCATAAAACAGACAAAGTTTCCTATTTTTATTTTATGGGGAGCAGGCATACCTTGTACCTGACCACGAGGCAGACAGGGTGTAGCATATGCTGTCACTGATGCTCAGCTCCTCGCCCTCCCCTCTCCTCAAATTTCAGGGTGTAACCCTGGACCCATCAGTGAGCTTCCAGAGTACTCTTTCTAATTAACAAGCTGTGCAGGAGAAGCATTTCACTCGTCCTCAGAAAGGCTTCCTCAAAGGAACATACCCAAAGAAATGGCCTTGTGCAGTGGTCTGAGAGTCAGCAGGCTCCTTCATCTCTGGTCGAATGACAAGGGGTGCAAACATGAAATCTCAGTCTCTCAGGTGGAGATCAGGAGCATGATAGTGCATGCCAACCATTTTGATGGTACATTTAGAGAAACATCTCTGGGGCAATCAAGACGCAAGCTATGAGAAAGTTTTTTTAGGGATTAAAATAGAATAAAATCTAAAATTAATTAGCCTGGGCCTAAAAGCATTTAAAAAAGCCTACTAGGACATGTCAGAATTTGAATTAAAATGAATTATATACCACTCCTCCAGTATTAGGATTTTTCTTCTTTAGAGTATAATTTAGCTCACTACTATTCAGTGCATCATGACATTGCAGTTGGCTTAATCCTGTGCAACAGTTTTAAATTCTGTTACAGGAACATGGGTTTGGGTTGATTGAAGCCTGAGAATAGAGGAGTTCTTAAGTAGTTATATAGTCTTTCTCTTACCTCTACCTAAATAGAGTGCTGGACATTAAATGGCTTATTTTCTCCCCTTTCCATAATTATAGATCTTAAGTACATTTTCTTAGTAGTTGGATTTAGTGTCTGACTAGTTCCAAGGCCAGAATAAAGGAAGCCTCTTATAGGAAGAATATCCTATAGCCTAATCTTCATGGCCCTTTGACTGCTCTGGGAGTGAATATAGTAATCTAGCAGCTGGGCCATATTATTGGGAGAAAAAAAGATAAAATGACATTTGCTCAGTTGGCTGGTTTTACTCATTCTAAAAGCCAAGACCATCTCTCTCTCTCTCTCTCTCTCTCTCTCTCTCTCTCTCTCTCTCTCTCTCTCTCTCTCTCTCTCTCTCTCTCTCTCTCTCTCTCTCTCTCTCTCTCTCTCTTTCTCTCTTTCTCTCTCTCTACCTATTTTTGGTGAGGCAATTGGGGTTAAGTGACCTGCCCAGGATCACACAGCTAGTAAGTTTCAAGTGTCTGAAGTTGGATTTGAATTCAGGTCTTCCTGACTCCAAGGCCAGAGCTCTATCTACTGTGCTACCTTAGCTGCCCTGGACTATCCATATATTTAGCTTAGCAGACAAGTATACTTAGAAAAATTAGATCTTAGTACGTGGGGCTGGAGCGTATCACACATCAGTTTTGAATGAGTTATATTAAGAGCTTCAGAACAAAAGATCTCTTAGTCTCAGCTTCATGAGCTGCTTTTTGGAGATCAGCGGAGAGACTAAACTGAACAGTGCTATTAGTACTGATACATTTTATGTTCATTTCTGCTGCTGACTTGCTAGGAGACCTTAGGAAATTTGTTTTCCGTTCAAGCTTCAGTTTCCCAGGATCCAAATAAGAGTGGGGATATTTGTTCAGTGAAGGAGAAACTTGAGATTATCTGAGGAAGTGAGAGAAATGGGATATTTTAAAAGAAAATGATCAGGTTAGTGAAAAATAACAAATTACAGGACATCATTTCCTTCAATTGTCATGTTAGCTTAGCCTGGACAGTCATCAGAGGGGGTGGCCACAACCTTAGCAGAGAAAGAAACTCCTGACTCATGATGCCATTGATTGGGAAGAGATGGCTCCCAGATTTTTTTGGAAGTTTAAATGCTTCATTCTCATTTTCATTACATTGAAGGATAAGATGATAGGAAAGTCTCTAACATCAAGCTTCTAAGAAACAACTTCTTTCCAAGAAAAAGCCATTTCCCTGGATTTCATCTCTGCCATATGTGACCGGTTCTCCTTTTTGCTTTTTGTTCTCAGCAATGGGCGACAAGCCGGCAGATGAGGTTTGAAGGTGGATTTCAAGGCCGATGCAACAAGTTGGTAGATGGCTGTTATTCTTTCTGGCAGGCAGGGTTACTGCCACTGCTCCACCGAGCACTACATGCTCAAGGTGAGTGCAAGATACAATTGAGTTGCAAAGCTGCCAATGCTAGATGAATTAATGAGGTTTATAATTGGTTGAGAGATCCATATTGCTCTATTTAGGTGCTTTGAAGTGAGATGTGCCTACTTAGATATTGTGAATGAGCATAGGTAAATCATGCCTTGAGGAATGGTAATAATGTATATTATTGGATAAAGTTCAGAAATTATCATTTTTTTAAAATTAGAAGGTATTTCTTTTTCCTTTTTTTGAGATTAATTTATTTGCTTTAGTTTTCAACATTCACTTCTACAAGATTTTGAATTCCAAATCTTCTCCCCATCTCTTCCCTCCCCTCACCCAGACGGCATGTATTCTGAATACCTCTTCCACCAATCTGTTCTCCCTTCTATCACACACTCTCCCCCGCCATCCCTTTCTCCATCTGTTTTCCTGTAGGGCAGGATCGATTTCTATACCCCATTGTCAGTATTTCTTATTTCCCAGTTGCATGTAAAAACAATTTTTAACATTCATTTTTAAAGCCTTGAGTTCTAAATTCTCTCCCTCTCTTCCTTCCTACCCACCCTCACCGAGAAGGCAAGCAATTCGATATAGGTTATACATGTGTAGTCATGCAAAACACTTCCATAATAGTCATGTTGTGAAAGACTAACTATATTTCCCTTCATCCTATCCTGGTCCCCTTTTATTCTATTCTCTCCTTTGACCCTGTCCCTCCTCAAAAGTATTTGCTTCTGATTACCCCCTCCCCCAATTTTCCCTCCCTTCTACCATCTCCCTTTATCCCTTTCCCTCCTATTTTCCTGTAGGGTAAGATAGATTTCCATACCCAATTGAACGTGTATGTTATTCCCTCCTTAAGCCAAATCCCATGAGAATAAGATTCACTCATTCCCTCTCACCTCCCTCCTCTTCCCCTTCACTGTAAAAGCTTTTTCTTACCTCTTTTATGTGAGATTATTTACCCCATCCTACCTCTCCCTTTCTCCTTCACCAGTACAAGCCTTTCTCTCACCCCTTAATTTTATTTTTTAGATATCATGTGTGTATATACACACACACACGCACACACACTCACACACACATATTCCCTCCAACTACCCTAATACTGAGAAAGGTCTCGTGAGTTACATATATCATCTTTCCATGTAGGAATATAAACAGTTCAACTTTAATAAGTGACTTATGATTTCCCTTTCCTGTTTACTTTTTCATGCTTCTCTTGAGTCTTATATTTGAAAGTCAAATTTTCTATTCAGTTCTGGTCTTTTCATCAAGAATGCTTGAAAGTCCTCTATTTCATTGAATGTCCATTTTTTCCCCTGAAGGATTATACTCAGTTTTGCTGGGTAGGTGATTCTTGGTTTTAATCCTAGCTCCTTTTACCTCTGGAACATCATATTCCAAGCCTTCAGACCCCTTACTTCTAGGGACCTATAAATTTTCAGTTCTTGCAAAGTGGTATGATTAAAAGAGAGATGTTTACTCTTTTCCTGGCCTGGGCTCTGGTCTGTGAGTGACCACAAGCTCTCTTTTCTGCCTTGGAACTGTGAGGAGGATTTGCTCTGCTCCACTGCCACAAGCTCTGCCAGACCAGCGCTCCTCCTCGCCCCAGGACAGCCACCCAGAACCGTGACCCAGATCCGAGCACGGGCAAAGCAAGAGAATACTGCCTCAGTGCCAGCAAAGAGATCCCTGCAGTCCCCCTCTGATCAGCCACTCAATACCCTCCACTGTCTGTGGGCCAGAAGCTCTGGAAGCAGCTGTTGCTTCTGTGGCCACTGCCCTGGAGCTGTGCTAGGGCCAGGACTGGACAACACTCTTCTCTCAACTAGGTCCAACAGACCTTTCCTACTGACCTTCTAAGTTGTCTTTGGCATTTGTGGGTTGAGAAGTCTGGAAACTGCCACAGCTTCTCTTGATTCAGTCCCCTGAGGCCCAACTGACCTTTCCCATCAACCATCCAGGTTGTCTTGGGCTGGAAATTTCTTTACTCTGTCTTTTTGTGGGTTCTGCTGCTCTAGAATTTGTTTAGAGCCACCTTTCACACGTATTTGGAGGGGTTTGGGGGAGAGTTCAAGCAAGTCACTGCTTTTACTCCTCCATCTTGGCTCCGCGCCCCCCCCCATTATCATTTGAACCTCACAACAGCTCTGTGAGGTAGGTACCATAGATATTAGCATCTCCTCTTTACATCTGAGAGAAAACTAAGACTTCAAAAGGTAAAGTCACTCTCCTGTAAGTCACAAGGTATCACAGGCAGGATTTATTTCAGCCTGGGTCTTCCTGATTCCATTTGCAACATTCTCCGTAATATGCTCTGTTGTTCTCTATCTCAAATAAAGTACACGATGTGGTTCTTGTAGTTTGAAGAGGCTAAACTGTACTTTGGTCATTTCTTCTCTGAGTAGACCGGGGCAGAATCATTCATCTTTCAAATCCTACAAGAGTGATATGGCTTCTGTGTGAGGTGGAGGGGCTGGCCCTCTTTTCTCTGGTACAAAGTACATTATTAATTATCATGACAATTTAGCTTCAGGCAACATTTCCCTACCTAAGTGATGCTTAATAGTTATGCAGGCTAAGAAAGCCCATCCTCTGCAAGTGAATAGATAAGTGAGGGAAAAGAGGAAGAAAGGGCATTATTCAGTCTCTAAGAATGTTTTTAAGTAGCTGGGAACACAAATGTGGTGAGAACAGACATAGCACATCTCTTCCTGCTGACCAAGACTCACTACAAAATTGAGCCTTATTAGTAATAATTTTTAAAATACAGTGAACAGACTTCTGATTAACATAGTAATGTATTGGGACCTAGGGGAGTGCAGGTCTCATCAAAAAAGAAAACTAAAGAAAAATAGTTCCAAGTTCCCCCATTCAGTTCTGGACAGCACAAAAAGATCACCAGAAGCCTGAAGACGTTCTGAGTGGAGACAGGCCAGAAGAGGTGGAAGCCCTAGTATCTGGCAGCCACAGCAGGAGATTAAGCTACAGCAGCACCAAGGCAGCATGTTACTAAAGAAAGGCATGTTGGATCCACAGAAGGAGACAGGGTCATCATAGCATCTGGGCAACAGTGCACCTGGGTCTCGCAGGAGATTGGTTATTAGTGCATTTGATGTTAACCTGTTGGGAACCATCAACCAGTTCCTGATTCTGAACTGTGCAAGGAAAAGGAAACAAAGAAGGGGCTGAGGAGCCACCAGAGACTGAACCATAAGCCAGGGTCGGACTGCCTCATGTAAGAGTAGGGGAGGGAGCAGAGTCTGACTTCAGTACAAAGCGCCAGTCCGGAAACTGATTAGATAGAAATAAATTCCAAACAGTTGTAAAGAAGTACTGTGGATTGAGAGAAACCTACAAGGTAAATCTGGAAGAGAATCTCAGAGAAATTAATAGCTTGGCCACAAGGACTAAAAGAGTACCTCTATGCTTAATATGAATGTATAAGTAGAGGCTATATCAGCTTGCATGCCATCTTGGGGAGGAGGGGAAGAGAGGGAAGGGGAGAAAATTTAAAACTCAAAATCTTATGGAAGTGAATGATGAAAATTAAAAATAAATTATTTTTTAAAAATTAAGCAAGCAGTTAAAATGAAATAAGAGCTCTAGAGGAAAAAATTGAAAGAAAAATAAATAGCTTAAGATAGAAGGTAGAAAAACTTATGGAAGTAGTGGACTCCCTGTAAAACAGAATGGAGTAGTCAGAACTCAATAACTCTGTGCGATAATAAGAAATATTAAAACAAAATCAAAAGATTGGAAAATTGGAAGAAAATGTATCAGCTGTCAAAATTAACTGGAAAATAAAAACAAGGTCCCTGAAAATTGTGACCAAACAAAGGACCTAGACACTGTCTTTCAAGAAATCATAAAACAAAGCTCTTTAGGTTTGCTAAAGCCAAATGACAAATTAAAAGTAGAAAGAGTCCCCCTGTTACTACCTGAAATAAAGTGCAAATTTAGAAAGCTCATAAATGTCAAAGCTGAAATCCTGAGCTTTCTGGTAAAAGAAAAAAAACTGCTGTAAGGAAAGAATTCTAGTACCGTGGAACTACATTCAGCATCACATAAGACCTAAGAGCCAGTACTTCAAAGGAGAGAAAATATTAGAATACTGTATTCCAGATGGTAAAGTGCCAGGCCTGAAGCTTAACCAAGAATAACTTAATCTGCAAAGCTGAGTAATTTTAGCCTACAGGGTAAAAATCATGTATTTTTATCTGAGTTATAAACTTTCAGTCATTTCAGATGAAAAGACCAGAGCTAGGTAGAATCTATGAAATGTAAACACAGAGACAAAAGAAACCTGGAAAGGTGAATGCGTTTGATAAAATATCATGAAGTACTGGCTTTCAAAATGCCACTGGTTTCTGTGGTCACAAAAGGAGTAAAGAAAGATAAAGACAGGGTCTGGGGATGGCTTGGTTCCATATTGGTTATAAGAGAGGAAGGAAAACATGAAGGGAGAGGAATACACTACGAATGAAATGAGGAGGAGAGAAGAGGAACTTGATTTTTCTCAAAAGGCAGCTAGGTGGTACTGTAGATGGAGAGCTGGGCTTAGAGACAAGAAGACCTGAATACAATTGCTGCCTCAGCTGCTTTTTAGCTGTGTGACAGTGGACAAGTCAGTTAACCTGTCGGAGCTTCAGCTTCCTCTTCTGTAAAATGGGGATAACACCTGAAGAAGAGTCTCTTAAGAGAAACTAATGGGAGGGGAGTTTTCCTAATATCTTATTTTAACATGGCGTGGAACGTTTTCAGGTTCTAGCTAGGGGGGAGTATTTTATTTTAGTCACAATAATTAGAGATTGGTTCATATCCTAAAAGAGTTGATTGGTCACAATCCCTTTCCAAGTTCGACCCAAGTAAGACCCAGATCTTTGCATATCTCCCCCCATTCTCACGTGCTGTTGTGTCCAGTCAAGGTTTTACTTAATACAGAGATAGAGTCCTTAGTAACCTCCAAATCCAGGCTACAGGGATCTGTGTTTCTGGTCTTAAGAGTTCTTTGATCATGTATTAGTCTGAGCTGGGCACTGTGCTTACTCCTCAACTTGTTTATTCATATGAAAGTGAGAAAATTGAGTTTTGAAGACTTTTTTCCCTCTGGAATAGCAGGCATATGAAGACATGAATTTGGGTTTTTTGATGTTCATGCTAGTTAGAATTGTTTAAAATACAATAGAATTGTTGATCTTTTGGCACACTTGTCAAGAGGTCCTCTGTATAGCAAACACATTGCAGATATGTAAATATAGTCACTCGGTGAGTGTCAGAGAAACCTGGAGAGCTGTGGCAAATCAGTGCTATGACAGTCTTTGTGGGCTGGGAGGACTGATGAGAAGAGCCACTTGTTAACGTTCTTGTTATTAGCTCACATTTTAGAGGATTTTTCACATGTTCTTTGTTTATAAAGAAGGTTATCCGTGATTCATTGCTGCATCTAAGTTTTTTCATTGACTTAAAGAGAAAGCTTTCACTTCTTCAGGCATCTTGGACTTTGAACATAATGAGGCCATGATTTTACATATACACACACACACACACACACACACACACATTTGTGTCTAATGGTAGCCATCTCTAGGGTAAGAGGGAAGGAAGAAAAAAAAAGAAACAGATTTATATGATAAATTTATTCTATATTTAAAAAGAATAGCAAGTCGTACGTAATGGATTTGTGGTTTCATGTACAGTCATCTTTTTATTTTTCTACTGTACTATGGAAATGCTTGTTTTATTTCATAAATTAAAAATAAAATAAATAAAATGATGAGGCCTGTGGTGAGAAAAGGAACCTATGAAGAAGAAAAATGTTATGACATGTATCAAGCCTCCTGGAGGGAGCATCAAGGTAAGAAGAAACAAATTTAGTCCTGAATCTACATTAGCTTATTGAGTGTCAACTCTATATATCCTGCTATGAGTATTACTCACCCAAGCAGAGAACAAATTATTATTGAAAAATTCCATTCAAAATAAATACAAAGTGCATGAAATACCTAGGAGTTAACTTATTGAGACATACTCAGAACTTATATAAATACACCTATAAAACTTTAAAGAAATAAGACAAATAATTGGAGAGTGATTTGTTTTTCATAGTTAGGTTGCACCGTTATAACAAAAATGACTGTGCTTTAGTGTTATACTCATCTAAATGCCATGAGGTTACTCTATAGCATTAGATAAAATAGTTACGGAATTCCGTTTGGAGAAACAAAATCTAGATTTTTGAAGAAAAAAAATGAAAAAAAAAAAGCTAAAGTGAAGAGTATTACCAGATCTTGAACTGTTATATAAAGTAGTAATTTTTTTTTAAATTTTCAAACAGAACTTTTTAAAGCAGTAATTCTTTTTTTTTTCCCCTCACTTTTTTGGTGAGGCGGTCAGGGTTAAGTGACTTGCCCAAGGTCACATAGCTATTAAGTGTCACGTGTCTGAGGCTGAATTTGAACTCAGGTCCTCCTGACTCCAAGGCTGAAGCTCTATCTACTGTGCCACCCAGCTGTCCCAAAAGCAGTAATTCTTAAAACTATTTAGTACTGGCTAAAAAATAAACAAACAAACAAATAAATAAATAAATGTGTGTGTGTGTGTGTGTGTGTGTGTGTGTATATGTATATAAAATTTGATCAGTGAAATAGATCAGCTAAGCAGGACCCTAAAGCAATTGAATACAGCTGTTCAGTATTTCATTAAACCTAAGAACTTCTGGGAAAACTGGAAGGCAGTTCATCAGAAATTAGATTCAGACCAGCATCTTAATCATAAAATGCAGTAAATTTTATATGGATACTTGACTTAAACATAAAAGTAAAAAAGAAATAGGGGGAAAAAACCCATAAAAGTGTAATATCCTAATAAACATAGAGAAGAAGAGGTAATACCTTTTAGATCTGTGATCAGGGGAGAATTCCTAATTTAGCAAGGGATAGAGAAGATCATAAAAGATAAGAGACAGTTTCGACTACATAAAATTTAAAAGCTTTTGCATGAAAAAGTTGGGAAAAAGTCTTTGTTATCAAATATTAAAATATTGAGGCAGTATGGTATGGGGCAAAGCACTGATTCTGGAATCAGAGAACCTGGGTCTGTTGTGGTTCAGGGAGGTTTAGCGGTTCTGGGACCTGAAATAGCTACAGCAAGAGATGCGGGTCCTACCCAAATGGATTTGACCCACACCTTCTTTCAGCCAAAGACAAAGTTTATTAGAATATTGATCTGGGGTGGGAGAAATTTTAGGAATCCACCATATTGGCCAGATTCTTAAGGAATCTAAGCATTTGTATTGGTAATGCAAATGGGCCAGACTTTAAGAATCTGAGCACCTTAATGGTGGCCAAGATGGATCTTATATACAGAAAGACTGTGGGAAGGATCTAGGAGTGGCCAAGTAGTCTGGGGTGACTGGAGGAGACATCTAAGGAGGATCTGGATGGGAGTGGCCAGTAAGCTGGGGTTACTGTGAAGTAACAGAACACCTGGGACCTTGACCAGGGGGGCCAAGGGAGAATGGAGTCTAGATAGGGTGGGAAGTGGCCAGAGGCAATCGGGAGGTAACAACCAAATTAGAAGATTGGGGGTAGCCACAATGAAAGGCCAGTTGAGAGGATTTAGCCTCAGGCAAATGCCAGAGATTTGGCCATGGGGAAGTCCAGGACATTTCCTTTTTGGAGTCCAGATCCCAAAGACATGGTTCTTTTCCTTTTAGGGGTTCAGATCCCATCCCCATCAGGTCTAAAACCTGTTTCTAAGTTTTACTACACATGTGACTTTGGGCAAATCACTGATGCTCCCAGGATCTCAGTTTCCTCATGTCTACAATGAAGGGTTTGGACTAGAGGGCTTTTGAGGTCCTTTCGAGCTCTTGATTTATGATCCAATCTTGTATTGTAGTATGATTTCTGATAGTTAAGCTACATGGGGAATTGACACCAACATGTAAGCTATTCCTCAAAAGATAAATGACCCAGGGATTTGATTAGCTAATTTTCAGAAAAAGAAATGCAAATGATTTGGGACTGTGACCAAAAAAACTGTGCTTACTCTTTGACTCACTGATGCCACTACTAGGACTATACTCCAAAGAGATCAAAGAAAGATGTATAGTATCTCTATGTACAAAAATTGGAAACTAAAAGAGTGCTCATCCATTGGATGATAGCTGAACAAATTATGGTATTTGAATGAGAATATCATAAGAAATGACAAAAGAAATTGTTTCAGGGAAACTTGGGAAAATTTGTATAAACTGATGCAAAGAGTGAAGTGAGCTAAATAAGAAGAATAATTTATACTACAATAACAACAGCGTTTTATTTCATTTTATTTTTTTGACTAGGCAATGGGATTAAGTGACTTGCCCAAGGTCACACAGCTAGTAAGTGTTATGTGTCTGAGGCCAGATTTGAACTCAGGTCGTCCTGAATCCAGGGCTGGTGCTCTATCCACTGAGCCACCTACCTGCCCCAGCAACAGCATTTTAAAAAAGAAAAAAGAGGTGGGGAGTGATACAGATGTGAAATCTTACATGCACACTGATAACGGCACTATATTATTAGTTTTACTTAACTTTTTAACTTTGTTACAAGAAACCTCTCATGAAGTAAGAAAAATCTGTAAGTGTGTATAATGTAAAAAAAAAGCATATCAATAAAACTTAAAAAGAAAACAAAGAAACAACCCAAACATATAACCAACCAAGAGATTGGAAAAATATGAGTAAATTACATGTCATTACGGAAGAACGTATGATAAGAAAACTTTGGCTAGTTACGTGGCCTGGAATCATACTTAGTCAGCCTGGGTGTTGCACTGGTGTTTCTGTGATGTCAGGTGAAAGGGATGATGTTGGGTGATTCTCACCAGATTCTTACCAGATTACCAACGTGTGGTAAACTGATGGGAAGATATGGACAAGGATCACACAGGCAGTCAGGTAGGTACTGGTTGCTATCAACATCAAAGGGAATATCCAAATCTTTGAGCTCATAGATCCATCTGGGCTTTGAGTAAGAAAAAAATGTCAAATGTCATACAAATAATTCTCAGTTAAAGTAAGTAGACTGTTCCTCTAGCCTTCCTCTCCCTCATGGGGCTCCACTTGACCTGTTGTCTCCCCCTTCTGCACTGCTTCAGTACCTGGGCCCCAAAGTAAGAGCAGCTTCAGTGCATGAAGCAGAGGATCCAGAGCTACACCAGCACTTGGGGTCTTGCCTTGCCTTCCCCCCCCCCTTGAATTTATGTAAAGCAAGAACTGTCCATAAACTTGTCAAGTCTAGTGCAATTAGCATAGCTCTTAGAATATTGATTCGAGTCAGTAAACATTCATTAAGCTCCTAATATTTGGCTGGCTTTGTACTAAGCCCTGGGGATACAAATTAGAAAAAGAAAGCCAGTCCCTGCCCTTAAGGAGCTTACAATCTAACTTAGATCTTCCCAATTCAGACACTAATTTCTTCTTTGTCTTTCAAGGTTTTTAGTGTGAGCCCATTTTGTTAAAATTGGGCTAAGTATGGGTGTACCAATTAGTTATTATAAAGCCATTTCCAAACTAGAAAGTAATATTATGGGAAGCAATAATTTCAGAAGTTTGAGAGTAAGGAATTTTAAAAATCTGATTCCATTGCAAAGCTAACAATCTTGTCAGTTTTTCTGAGATTAGGTAATTTGTGTTAGCATAATGTCTTTATGAAGCATTGTTCATTTTAAAAGCTTTAATAATGTAGTGTGAAGGCAATAATCAATAAACATTTATTAAGTACCCACTATGTGCCAGGCACTATGCTAAGTGCTAGGGATAGAAAAAGAGGCAAGAGTCAGACCACAGAATGAATCTATACTTTTTCTTGTAATGAATGGTTGTTTTTCTCATTTTTAAAATTTATAGGGGCAGCTAGGTGGCGCAGTGGATAGAGCACCTGCCCTGAATTCAGGAGGGCTTGGATTCAGGAGTTCAAATCCAGCCTCAGACACATAACACTTACTAGCTGTGTGACCCTGGGCAAGTCACTTAACCCTACTGCCTAGCCAAAAGAAAAAAAAAGCAATTAAAATTTATATTTGTAGTAACATCTATATTTTGTATGTCAAAATAATTTCCCTATGTACCCTCCTTCATCATACTATGATTTTTTTTCATTTTTCCTCAAGCTTCTTATTTAAAAATTTTTTAACACTGATTTATAAATTTTGAGTTCTAAATTCTCTCTCCCCCTCCCACTCCTTCCCCACTGATCGAGAAGGTGGGCAATTTGCTATGTATTTTCCATATAGTCATGCAAAACATATTTCCATGTTAGCCATGTTGCCAAAAATAAAAAAAAATGCTTCGATTTCTATTCAGAGTTCATCAGTACTCTTCCTGGAGGATAACATTTTTCATCATTAGTCCTTTCTTTGAATTATTTTAAATCATTGTATTGATCGGAATAGCTAAGTCTTTCACAGTTGATTATTGACACAATATTGCTGTTATTGTATGCAAATTCCTGGGTCTGCTTACTTCACTTTGCATCAATTCATGTAAGTCTTCCCAGGTTTTTCTGAAACCCTCTTACTTGTAATTTCTTATAGCACAATAGTATTCCATCACAACTTATTCAGCCATTTTCCAAATGATGGGCATCCCCTCAATTTCCAATTCTTTGCCACCACACACAAAAAAAAGTATTTTTGTACCTACAGGTTCTTTCCCCTTTCCTTTGATCTCTTTGGGACACAGACTTACTAGAGGTATTGTCATGTCTACAGGCATACACAGCTTTTTAGCCCTTTGAGCTGTAAACCATTTTGAGTGCTCCTATCACTTGAGAAAGGCCTAAAACCTGGATTGGCCAGTCAGGAGAAAGACATTTTTGGCCCACTGTGAGCTTAATCTGCCATAATGCTTTGAGTGCTCTGGCATAACAGACATGCTTTGCTTTGCTTTCTGAGTGAACCCAACATGCCCCTACCCGTATCAGCAACTACAAGGCCAGATGAAGCTCACCAGGAGCATTCTTTTGTTTATGACTACCAAAGACAAGGCTCCTCGAACCAGACACTATCTTGAATAATGATATTTTTCTTATATTGTTGTATTATGTCATGTTAATGATAAAAGAAACACAGATACCCTGGATCTGTGATTTCAGTTGACACCTTGACATTCTCTTATCTTATTGTATTTACAACTTATACCACTAAGAAATTCCTTTCTCAAACCTGGAAAGTCTTATGTGAATTGATGCTGAGTGAAATGCAGAACCAGGAGAACATTGTACACAGTAACAGCCACATTGTGTGATGACTCGCTTTGATTAGACTTAGCTCTTCTCAGCAATGCAAGGATCTAAGACATCTCCAAAAATCTCATGATGGAAAATGCTATCCACATCCCAAGAAAGAACTATGGAGTTTGAATGCAGATTGAAGCATACTATTTGCTCTTTTTTTTTCTTTTTTGTTTTGTTTCTTCTTTCATGTGGTTCTAATTCTTCTTTACAACATGACTAATGTGAAAACATGTTTAATAGGAATGTATATGAGCCTATATCAGATTGTATGCTGTTTTGGGGAGGGAGGTAGAGAAGGAGGGGGAGAAAATTTAAAACTCAAAAACTTACGGAAGTGATTGTTGAAAACAAAAAATAAATTAATTTTAAAAAAATTCCTTTGTCACATTATAGTTAAACACATATGGAGACTATAATTCTGGGGATTGCTCTAAGTATATTAAGGATCTCCTTCTGCTTGTTTACCTCTGAGTTCAAAATTATTTTCTGACTCCATCATGCATGATTCTCTGACTTAATGAGAATAAATAAACATGTTACAGCACATGTACAGTCTGATTCCGTTTGTTCCTTGTTCAAACCTTTAGTAAGGTGGACCCTCATTCTGTTTGTTCTAGGGCAAACCTTCAGTTAAGGGAGAAACTGATTGTGTTTCTTTCTTTGGACCCAACCTTTGGTAAATGGTTGACGGGGCATAGGTCCAAATTTTTCTTCAGAATGTTCAGACCACAATTATACCAACAGTTTGATTAGTACCTCTGGTTTTCCATATCCCCTCCAGTATTTGTCATTTTCCTTATCTGTTACATTAGCTAATCGGGTAGGTGTGAAGTGGCTTCTCAGAGTTATTTTAATTTGTATTTCTTTAATTATTAGTGATTTAAAGCATTTTTCATATGACTACTGATAACTTTGATTTCTTCATCTGGAAACTGCCTGTTCATATCTGTTAACAATTTATCAGTTGGGAAATGACTCTTATTTTTATAAATAACTCTTCTTTAGCCATAGATTTGACAGGTACATTTTTCCATGCTCTCCTAATTTGCTTATGTACGGGGCGTTCAAGGAGGACTAACACCTCAGGCGTGAGGGCTTGCCAAGCCCTTTTCAGGACTGTTATCCACCTTTGGCATCTGCCTGGTACTCAACTCACATCGGTGGCTCTAAGAAGATATAGAATACACAGTGGTGACACCCTGGTAAACCATCTCAGCAGACCGACTAAATTAAGTTGAGGGTAACTGACAGGCCTCAAAACCGTCAGTGTGTTAGGGAGGTGTCTACCCCAAGCATGGGAAGACTCCTCCAGAGCTGAATGTGCAGATGTGAACAGTTTGTTCCAATGGCCACCAAGGTGGCTGAAGCAGGTGCTGTGGAGTACTCGGGGCTTAGTCAGACATCGAAGACATTGAAGTTATCGACTGCATCCCAGGCCATCACCAGTTTGTCTTGACTTTTGTCTGAACACTGGACTTTGAACACTCTGGAAGAGAGAGTGAGGCTGATGACTTTGTGTAACTCTGCCTCTCTTAAATCCAGTTTTTGCCTGAGTCAAGACATCGCTCCCCCCTTCCCCTGTGATGTCACTGGTCTTCTTCCAAAATGAAGGACAAACAAAAAACAAATGCTATCAGTCTTGGTGTCTAAATTACATATACATTTTGGCCTTATCTTGGTATGTGATGTGAGGTGCTGGTTTATGCCTAGTTTCTGCCAGACTGCTTTCCAGTTTTCCCTACAGTTTTTGTTGAATATTGAGTTCTTGCCCCCTAAAACTTGCATCTTTGAGTCTGTATTACTGTGGTCATTTACTTCTGTATGTTGTGTGCCTAATCTCTTCCACTGATCCACCGCTGTATTTCTTACCCAGTACCTGACTGTTTTGATGATTACCACTTTGTAATATAGTATGAAATCTGGTACTGCTAGGCTGCCCTCTTTTTTTTTTTTTCATTGATTTCCATGATGATATTCTTAACCTTTTGTTCTCCCAGATGAATTTTTATATTATTTTTTCTAGTTCTATAAAATAATTCTTTAGTAGATTGATTGGTATTGGTACTGAATAAATGACTTCATTTAGGTAGAACTGTCATCTTTATTATATTGGCTGCCTACCCATCAGTAATTAATATTTCTCCAATTGTCTAGACCTGCCTTTATTTGTGTGAAAAGTTTTTTTTTAAATTGTGTTCATATAGTTCCTGGGTATATCTTGGCAGGGAGACTCCCAAATATTTTACACTGTCTTCAGTTATTTTAAGTGGAATTTCTTTTTCTGTCTTTTCTCTCTGTGTTGTTAATATATGGAAATACTGATGACTTGTATGGGTTTGTTTTATATCCTGCAACTTTGTTGTTAATTGTTTCAGCTACTTTTTTAGTTGATTCTTTAGGGTCCTCTAAGTATCATATCATCAGAGTAGTGAGTGACAGTTTTGTTTCCTTATTGCCTATTCTTATTCCTTCAATTTTTTTTCTTATTGGTGTAGCTAGCATTTCTAGTACAATATTGAATAATAGTGGTGATTATGGGCATCCTTGCTTAATTCCTGATTTGGGAAGGCTTTTAGCTTATCTCTGTTAAAGATATTGCTTGCTGATGGTTTTAGATAGATATTACTTATCATTTTAAGGAAAGTTCCATTTATTCCTATGCTTTCAGTGTTTTTTTTTTTAATATAGGAATAGGTGTTGCATTTCATCAAAAGCTTTTTCTGCATACA